TCCAGATAATAAACAATCTGATTGGAAATCATATAACTACACTTTCACGGCGAAGAACACATCTCATTATGTCATGTTTGGATTTCAAGGTACTAATAATCGTGCTTACTACTTGGACTCAGTATCTGTTGTTGCTCAAAACGCATCAAGTATTCAGTTGCTGAGGAATCCAAGTTTTGAAAGCTCAGCCACAACACCAATAGATTGGGTGATTTTGTGTCCAGGCTCGTGTAAGAACGGTGTAGGCGGGATTGTATCTAATTCCAGCTGCTTTAACTCTACAGGTAATTGCTATAGGGATACTTGCAACAGTGGTATCGATTTTATCGCTCAAACATTTTCGACATCGATCGGCAACATATACACACTTTCATTTTGGCTCAACTCGAATGGTGGTGGCTCGGGTGGATCTGGAGCGAATAATTTCTACGTTGATATTATCTAGATACTATGTAATGGGTGTAAGGAATCGTAGATTTCAGCTAAATAGGAATACGGAAACCCGCTGTCCACATTTCACTCACACCTATACCGTCGTATGAAACTTTTGATGTGTGAATATAATTTGTTACTTATGCTTCGCAAATTTGAATTAACTATAAATGTACTCAGTATTGCTCATCATTGATTTGAACTTCAAATTATTCTAAAGCTATCTGAGTGCATTTCTTAATAAAGTCTTTCTTACATTCTACCGTAGTCATTTGATTAATATGTGCAACTGATGAGTTTTTGTGACTGACAATAGGGAGGCATCAACTGATCAATCGCTTTTTGAGTTGGAACTACGTGCATTACGTAGGAATAAATGAGCTATGAATAACATGAAAAAAATTCGGGCCGCTTGCTCATTGTTACGAAGATACTGCACTTTTACAGTGAGTTTTTAAATGAGTGCCGTGATCCTCATCAGGAACATCAGAAAAAATGATTTTCGAATTTCGACCTGAAACTTTACATAGAAACAGATCTTACTGAGAATACATCGTGTTTTGTGAAACTTCCAGACCTTTTTGCTGTTTCCATGTCTAGTTGCAACTATGATAACTTCATTCGAATACGTCAGAAGATTTGATTTTCTCGTTTCAGGATAGGAATACATCAAAACATCTGAAACCTTCAGAACATACTATGTTTAGTAAGATCTGTTTCTGTGTAAAGTTTCAGGTCGAAATTGGAAAATCATTTTTTCTGATGTTCCTGATAGAGACCACAGCACTCATTTAACAACTCATTGTAAAAGTGCAGTATCTTCGTAACAATGAGCAAGCGGTCCAAACTTTTTTCATGTTATCCATAGCTCATTTATACCTACGTAATGCACATAGTTTCAACTTAAAAGCGATTGATCAGTTGGTGCCACTCCCTTGTGAATCTTTGTTCACAATTACTCCAGCGGTAGACACAGAATCGTTTGGTGTCCTGTCTAAGAGAGTATGTTGAATGTTCTTACTTTCAGTTAGAACGGGGGGTGTGCGTGGGTGGGATGTAGCTGTCACTGTAGAGGAAAGGGTTATCAACAATCGCAATCAAGTTCTTGTCGCAGTGTTTCTCTTTTTCTTTTAGCTATTGAAGAAATTGATGTTTAATAAAATAATACATATGAACAAGTAGGAAAAGTGAAAGATAGTAATTTCTCAGAAACACCTTCATTATTTAGTTGATATCCTATCAATCAATCACCGGATTCAAACACAATTTTTTAGGAAATCGAAATTGGAATAGGCTTTTCCGCCTTTCCGCATGGAAACTGGAACTGCGTTTTCGATTCCTGGCATTTCTTTGAACCACAGGGCTCTATTCTTTATCCTTGCTTTCCCATTTTAAATAACATTGACTGGTGTGTCTCATGACAACGAGACTGAGAGCGGTTTTTCCCTTCGTGCAGCAGAAACGAAATGCAAGAACGAAACATTCAAGTGGACAATAGAGGGTGAGAGAGTCACAGATGGCGCGTCAGAGTAGTGTGGGTTAGCAATTGCTACCTCATCAAAACATTAGGGATTGCAATAAAAAGTTATTGCTACCCCTAATAACCTATATTTGGGTGTGAGTGTCGGTGTGGGTGTAAGGAAGACAGATACTCACGTCTATAGCCATCCACATCTACACTCCATACCCGTATCCAACCACGCCCTCAAAATCACAACCACACCCCTTTATGATCTTGATTACCTTGAAAAATAGCATTTCAAGAACTACTAAATCTTCAGTCGTTTTTCATGTTGCAATAGTTCAAATGAATTTTGTATATCCATCATCAATAAAACACATTTTATTACGACTATCACTAGTTTGTTGTTTGATGTGCTATCAGCATTGATGATAAAACTAGATATTGTTGAGCGATTTTCATATCGAATTTTGTCAATATAACACAATGAGCACTATTGAAAAAAATAGTACATGACAATGTTATTACAAATTCTCGTCCATAGTACAAGCTATAGACCTGAAACTTTGTCGTTATGTAATACTGAACAGGACTAATAATTAACCAAGGTTTCAGATACTTTATTTTTGTTAAATACGAGAATAATGAATTTTAAAAACGGATCTGAATTTTTGGGACATCTCTTACCAACATTTTGAAGCTTGTATCAATAGCTTTCGAGTTGTTTCCTAAACGAAATGGAGATGTATGTGCAAGTGTAATTGACGCTCCGTCTAGATCTTGGTCTGTACTTTGATGAGGATTTTTATAGGCACAAGTAAGGATCATGGTCGATGTAGGTGTGGGCTCGAGTCAAAATTGGTATAAGTTTTGGTTTAGGTTTGAGTGAAGTTTGGCCTAAATATTGGTATGGATGTGATTGAAGTTTCTTGTAGGCTTTGTTCTAGGTCTGCATGAAGTTTGGTATAGATATAGACTGAGATGAAGGTTAATTTCGATGGGAGTCTGAAGGGTGTGGGTATGGATGATGATAGCTTCAGAGACGTGTCCGGGTAAGGATGGGTGAAGCTGTGGGTGTGGGCTTGCGTGCAGTTTGGTCTACGTGTGAGTCTAGATGAGGATTCGAGTAAGTGTGGATCTAGGTGTCGATGAGAATATATGTGACGCGTAGGCGCCAGTGAAAGTGGTTATGATTGCTTGTCTAACTGAGGTAAGGATGGACCAAGCCCAAGCAGCTTGGACTCGGTTTCGACCTTGAAAATTTTCAGTTTTCATCAGTCCCCTTGATGTTGACTCCCTAAATTTTGTCTACTCATACGTATAGCATACACCTATTATTTCGTAAAAGTGAATTTTAAGTCTAATCAACGCAGTGGTACAATAAAAGTAATGAAATATTTATGAGAAGGCAAGTTGTACAAAATCAACACAAAGATTGATTGATAAAAGCCAACATTATTCAAGATTCTGATCGAATTGAATCGAGTCTAAATTCAAGGTGCTCGATGTAGGCTCGGGTTCGGTCCATGTCTAGCTTCAGAGTCGGCCTAAGTATAGCTGTGGGTTTGGTTATGATTGACGGTGAGTGTGGTCCTCGGTCCTAATCTCAGTCACGATTGACTTAGGTGCGATTCTGGGTGAGGATTATTGTAGATGCGAGTTAAACTTGATGTACATCTTGGTGTAGATCAGAATTTATGTAGGTGTTGCGTAGCTGAGGTTTGGTCTAGATGCGACGTTTCGTGAACGTTGGTGTGTAGGTGTTTCGAGTGGGAAATGGGTGGATTCTGGTATAGGTGTTCGTCTGGATGATGATTGGTGTGGGCCTTGTCTGCATGACAGTTGGCTTAGGAGTGAATGCAGTTCATAGTTACTGTCTGGATCTGGCCAGGCGGATTTCAGTATAAGTGCGCATCTGAATCTTTATTGGAGTGGTTGTGCATGTGCATGTAATGTCTTTGGCTGTGTTTTTGAGGCGCTGCCATAGAGAAAACCCATATCCAAACATACATTCATCCGATTCGTCCTCGACAACGAAGAGACTTGTTATGGAGACTATTCATCAACATAAACATTTTACAGGTTGTTGTCTCGGAATAATCAAACCATGTTTTTGATTGTTATTTTATGTTTCTCTCTAAAGCGATGTCATTTAATGATATTTTTTCTTTTCATAAGGAAGCCATCCATTTTAACAAATCATTTTTTAATACTCCAACACACAATTACAGCAAGCTTAATGTGTGTACTCTTCCAAGTGTTTGCAAACACAGTCAATTAAGCTTTGTCGTTTATTCAACGATAACATAAGTAGTCAAATATTGTCTTAAAAGCAATCACTCAATTCAGCACTTAATTCATACTATATAAATATCGGCATTTTCATTTCATCTTATTTCTCCCCTTTTATTCTATTCATTTTATATAAAACTCATACATTTCAAACGTATAATTTTTTGAGACAGAAAATGTATCGAATAAATGGAGCAAAATCTCCAAGATGGGCTGAATCAAAATCACCAGATATAGAGTTTATACCAAGTGAGACAGCGCCAGAAAAGTACGTTTGACATTGCTAACATTAAGAAAGAGTATGTTTAACATTCTTTTTAATATATTTTTTTGAAGATGTATATCATGGCGATGTGGAGTTATTCTAGCAATTGTGGGTGGCTGTTGCGTGTTTCTCATGCTCGCAGCAATACTTGCAATGCTCACAGTCATACTTGTGACAAATGGTAACAGCAAACAATCGAACAGTGTTACGAGTGAAACAACGGTGTCACAAGGTTAGTTACTAGTGAGAAGGTAGAAGTTTGAGTAGAGGCATTTCTTTGAGATGCGTATTGACCGAAAACAGGGCTGATAGATGTGAACTTACACGTTCTGTTCTGACTTACGAGAGAACTGCCAGAGGTGATTAACCGCTTTTCAGCTCCTATTTTTGACATGTACAGGAAACCTCTAGGCTAGCAGAAACTTAGAAAGATTCGTGCCCATAAGCTTTCTGTTCTGAGATATTGATTTTTCAAGTTACAGAGAACATCACAATTATTGCGTAAGTGAAAATATAATGAAAGCTGAACGTTTTATGATTAGAAAATCACATTATCGGTAGATTATCCTACAGTTTTAAGATTTTTAACTCAGCTCTGTGATTCACAGTAATTTTTCTCGGAAATGTTCGAGAGACTTTGAGTCTATCAATGAAGTTTGTTTGAATATCGATGATAGTGTTTGGTAGCAGTCGAGCTGTCAATTGCCACCTAGTATTCAATGCAGTCACTGTCGCAAAGTACTCTACACATTTTTTTTGAAGTTTATTACTTTCACAATTGGCTATATGCTGTTCATTGCTATGATCGTATGATGATCAATAAGATAATTAGCACAGTAGAGTTCACCGTATCATCATTGATAGTTACAAGAAAAAATACTGTGAATCGTAGAGAAGAGATGAAAATCTTAAAACTTTAAAATGATATGGAGACAATGTGATTAGTTTGTCATAAAATATACAGTTCTTGTAAAATGTCAATAAATCGATCTAATTGAAAGGTTACTTCAATAAAACACATATTCATCTGTTGCTAATATACTAGGAACACATATATTTGTTTTAGCAAGCTAATTAAGAGATCGATATTAATCTTTTTTTAAATAAGAGAGTAGTTGTAGACGAAGTGAAGATCACATATTCATACCCTTTATTGAAAAATAGATTATGTGAAATGAATGATGGAAAATGTTGGTAACCAAAATGCTGTCACACAACAAGTATATTATAGCACGACACAGAATATGACGCGTAATGCAATGCGAATTTTTTCATTTATTTTATTACATACACATATAAACCCTTCAGAGGTGAGGGTATCGGTGCGGGTATAGATGTTTTCCTCTTCACACTAGTATTCACACTGACATCTACATCTACACCCACCTTCAGCAAGTCATAAGTGGACAAACATGAAAATTAAGGAGCTGTGAATCTTTCCAGAGCCGGATCCATGTCTATAATAATATATAACGGCTGCTTCCTCGATGGATTACGTGGAATATATTCTTGCTTGATCTCGTTTACTTACATACAACTAAAACTATGCCATACAGTTGAGCCTCTTAGTATTACTGTTAGTTTTATAATTTCCAATAACGCATTTTGTTTATTGATTAATTATTCCATTTCCTTTCTGTAAGCATAATGTTCTTTTCAATCAAGAGAAAGCTTTAAAGTTTTTAATTATCGAATGAGGAACAAGTGAGAAACAAGCAATAACTATTGATTGCCTCTTTTCTCAAAGTAGTCAATAAACAGTTTAAAAACTTCATCGTTTACTTATTCATGTACAAAGAGCGAGGCAGATAGTACTAGAAAAAACCTCGAATATAGGTCTTTAACTATTGAATCTTGGTAGGATCTGTATTCAATTTAACTGTTTTTCGCGTTTGATTCAGGCTCACACTCCAAAGTTTAGCTTTTCTCTGGTTCGACTTCACAAATATGTGGACTCACAATCATCTACTGAAGATGGTCCAAAAAACTGACCATTATACTTCCCTCTTATTAATTCATTTTGTGTGTAGTCTTACAAAGTACAAAAATGATAGTTAGTCTCAATGTAGTAGAGTTTCATTTTATGTGACCTATAAAATCCTATTTTTGATGAGTACTAGGTAGAAAACTAAGTAATGTTGATCCTAACGTTTCCTATCATAATGACAGGTACTACATCAGCGACAGGTAGTACATTAGCAACAGGTACTACATCAGCGACAGGCAGTACATCAGCAACAGGCACTACATCAGCAACAGGCAGTACATCAGCAACAGGTACTACATCAGGAGCTGGCATGGCACTCACAACAGCTAGTTCTACACCGACTAACACGTCAGCCACGACAACAACAGATACAACAACTACAACAAGCACAACAACAGATACAAC